GCAAGTTGGCAGAGCTAGAAGAGATCTCTGTTTTTTTGTTGTTTTGGGGTTTTGTTTTGTGTTTTGCATTATTAGAATGTCATTGTCAGAATGAATGAGGAAAGAGAAGGGAAGGAAATTACACAAAGGAAATGCTGTCACATCCAGCAGACCCTTTCTGGAATCTCTTTGCTATTCCTCCCCTCCACTTCTCCAACATGAGTTACCACCAGTAGCAGTCAGGGGTGGAGTACCTGCTGTATGCTGGACCTAACACTACACAAGTGTCCTCATTTCATCTTCACAAGTGCAAGGTCACAGCCTGCCTGTTACCCCAATTCACAAATGAGCAAACTGACGCTGGGGGGAGGAGGGTCCATGATTCTTTCCTATAATATTGCCTATAAACTTCATCCACCCAACTTCCAGTTCTCTGCCCTCTTCTTCTCTCAGCCATTCTCATGTAGATAACCATGCTATTCCGCGAACCCCTGGAATTTCTTACTGCACAATCTGAGAAGTTGGGAGTACTTAGTATTGCCTCTCCTTTTCTCCTTTTATATGTTATTTATCTATTCCTAACACTAACCCAGCACTTATTATGTTCCAGGAAGTCTTCCAAAGCCCTTTCAACATATATGCTCACGTGAATATTCACAACGAGCCCGAGAGAAATACTGTTGCTTCCTCAGTTGAAGAGAGAGAGTTACCAAGAGCTTAAGGAACCTTCCCAGGGCACACTGTAAGGGGCAGAATGAGGATGTGAACCCAGGACGTCTAGCTCCAGGGTCTGCATCCCTATTCAAGCTTCATCTTACTTGACTTAGCAGAACCTGGCACCCCTGACCATTTTGATTCCAAAATCCTTTTCTGACTTGGCTTCCAACCCACTTCACTCGCCTGATTCGCCTCCTACCTTTCTGGCTGCCTCATCTCATTCACCTTGGCTGGTTCCTCTTTTGCCTCTTTGACTTCCAAAAGTCGGAGTACTCTAGAGATCAGTCCTTGATCTATTTTCTGCACTCAGTACCTAGAAGATCTCATTCAATTTCACAGCTTCACCATCACCTCTATGCAGGTAGCTTCCAAATTAACATCTCCTGTCTGTCAATCTCCCATAGAATTCTGACTCGTACATCTAACAGTGCACTGAACCTCTTTACATGGCGACCTAACGGGCATCTCAAAATCATCGTGCCTCCAAATGAGCTCCTGCTCTTCTTCCACAAACTCGCTATTCCTCATCTCAGCTAATGGTAACTCTACTCCTCTTGCTGCCCAGGCAAAAAAACTGGATGATATCCTCAAGTTCTCATTTTCCCTCTCACAGTGCATCCAACTTATCTGTAAAATATATTCCACAGTTTGATCACTTTCACCACCCCCACGATCATCTCTCTAGTCTACGCCACCCCTATCTCTTTCCTAGATGTTGCAGTGGTCTCTCACAGGTCTCCCTGCTTCTCCCCTAGATCCCTCTAACCAACTGGAGTGAGACACTGCCTCGAATGCAAAAATGCAAGAGGCATCAAAAAACTCAGTAATCAAGACAAATGATACTTTAGTGCAATATTATTTTAAATCAAATTTATACCCACAAATCCATGATGAACAAAATAACAAAATTTTAAATTTAAAAAAAAGGACCAGAGTGTAGACATTACTTGTTTTCCTTGCCTCCCCTTAGTCCCAGCCTTCAATCCCCTTCGATGTCTCCTCCATGGCGAGAGGGGTCCTGGTAAACTTGTCCATTCTCTGGCTTTGCATCTCAGGGCGACAGCCAAAGTCCTTACTGTGACCGGCAACGCCCTTCATGACCTGGTCCGCCATTACCTCCCCGACCCCAGCTTCCACTTCTCCTTCATTCAGCTCTGCCCCCTCCATGTGGGCCTCCTCACCGCTTCACCAACAAGCTCTCACCTCAGGACCCGTACACTTGCCAGGACCTCTTCTTGGAAGGCTCTTCCTCAAATACACCCTTTACTTCACCGAGGTCTCTTCCCTGATTCACTCTATCAGGACTGCACTGTCTAAAATTTCTTCCCCCCGACACATATACTCCATGTTATAAATGATCCTAAGCACAGTGGACATTTGGCTTATTTACCTTATTTATTGTCTCTCTCATCCACCATAAAATTCCGTGAGATTTTGGGGTGAAGGGGGGTTTGTCCTGTTCTCTGCTATATCCTCAGTGTCTCAAGAAATTCTTGGATGATAGTAGGTACCAGTAACTAATTTCTGAATGAGTAAGTAATACACGCTTATGAGTGCCCTCCTTGAGCTCCAATGGTCTTAATGCTTGCTCTGTATAGGTTTTGAATTAGAGGTGTTAAATCAGAAAATGTATTGCAAAACCTTTCTTTCAAACTGACCAAATTTTTTAACAAAAGTTTAACTTGCTTAAGAAAATATTTACCTTGGATTCAAGTTCACCCCTTAGCTTTGGTCAGTGTTGAAAGAGGGTGTTGTTTTCGAGAAATAAACATTGACGATCAAGTGTCTTCTATGGCAAATTCTGAACTTTATTTCTATGTCCTGATTTCCAATGACTTGATACTATATTGAGATGTTATACAGATTTTCTCAATAATGTCAGGGTGAACCTACATATGATCAAAAGTCCTTTCTGATCTCAAAATATCTTTAGCCACCTTTATTAATAATTAACCAAAACTAAAGTTAGGTTTTGCAAATAAAACTTGTCGTTTCACCATGAATCGCTATCTTTTGAGGGAGAAGATGAAGTTCAGCAAAGAGCAAATCTACAACTTGGCTAAAAGATACTAGACTTTGCCTTCAAACATATGTAAGACACGCAAGACTAACCTCATTAGAACCCAGTCCATCCATGGCCTCCCTGCCCTTATAGGTTAAATCCAGCACTATGGGAGCATGTGAGAGTGTGCTGATGAACTTACAATTCCCAATGTTTGGGAAAAGTGCAAGAGTTAGAATTTGTCTTAAAGGCTAGTTTCTTTCTAAAACTTCAAAATGCCTTTTGTAGCTTTATTTTTTAAGAGGATGTATGTAGTTTCATAGGGGTTTCTATGACTGCATCACTAGCAGTTAGGATTATAAACTGAATACAGGTCTTATTTTACCCCTACCTTGAAAGTAGCCACAGAAAGAGTATTTACACTATAAATGTGTCCATAAAGCTG